TTATGTGAGCAAATTGTGTGTGTGGGAATAGTGAGCAATGAGGTTGGGTAGATGAAGTGAGGTTAAATTATGAATTGCATGATTTTCAAAGGCCAGCAGAAGAGTTTCGCCTCGATGCGGTAGGTAATTGAGAGTCAAGGCTTTTGACGAGCTGAGAAAATGAAAAGATGGAGTGGTATTTGTATTGTTGATAGATTTTAGTAAGAGGAGAGATTGGAGGAGGCGGGGAGAAAATTGGGAATAGAGAGGTGTTTCAGTAAGAGTCCCATAATTAGGGAAAAGTGGGAACAGAGAGGAAGGAGTGAATATTTAAAATTTCAAAGGAGGGGCGCTTGGATGGCTCAGTTGGTTAAGCTTCCAACTTCGGCTCAGGTCATGATCTCGCGGTTTGTGGATTTGAGCCCCATGTGGGGCTCTGTGCTAACAGCTCAGAGCCTGGAGCCTGCTTTCGATTCTGTGTCTCGCTCTCTCTGCCCCTCCTCCGCTTGTACTCTGTCTCTCTCATTCTCTCAAAAATTGAATAAACATCAACAAATTTTTTTTTTTTTTCAACGTTTATTTATTTTTGGGACGAGAGAGACAGAGCATGAACGGGGGAGGGTCAGAGAGAGAGGGAGACACAGAATCGGAAACAGGCTCCAGGCTCTGAGCCATCAGCCCAGAGCCTGACGCGGGGCTCGAACTCACGGACCGTGAGATTGTGACCTGGCTGAAGTCGGACGCTTAACCGACTGCGCCACCCAGGCGCCCCAACAAATTTTTTGATAAAAAAAAAAATTTCAAAGGAAGTTTTGACAGAGTTTAAGTGTTCAGCATAGAGGAAGGGTGAATCAAGGATGGCTAGTTTTTAAATTTTTGCTTTTTATCCTGATGTGAAAATCTCTTATTGGTGAAAATCTCTTAAATCTGTTGAAATATAATCTCCGTGAGGGGGTGCCTGCGTGGCTCAGTCGGTGGAGTGTCAAACTGTTAATTTCGGCTCAGGTCATGATCCCCGGGTTGTGGGATTGAGCCCTGTGTCGGGCTCTGTGCTGAGCATGGAGCCTGCTTAAGATAGATTAATTCATTCATTCATTCATTCATTCATTCATTCTCTCTGTCTCTCTGTCTCTCTGTCTCTCTGTCTCTCTCTCTCCCTCTGCCCCTCTCCTTCTGCCCCTCTTCCCCGCTTGTGTTCTTTCTCTAAAAATAATAATAAATAATAAAAATTTAAAAATATATATAAAAAATAGGGATACCTAGTGCTATGATCAGTGGTATCCCTGGCACCCTGGAATAGTGCCTGGTATATAGAAGTGCTCAAGAAATACTTGTTGAAGGGATGAAAGAATGCATTTTACATGTCAGTAGGTAAATTTCAGTGGCCATCTATAAATTTAGAACATGCCAATTTTTACTGCTAAAAATTATGACTGTAAAATAGTACTTGTTAACATTTTCTAGTAGCAAAAATTGTATATTTTTGTTGTAGAAAATTGGGAAAATATGTGAAAGCACAAAACACAAAAAAAGTTACATTTACTTCAAAGATAACTGCTGTTGGTGTATATATCCTTTCTGGGTTTTTTTGTTTGTTTGTTTTTGTTTTTTTTGGTGTGAGTACATATTCATTTATAAAGTGGATCATACAGTAATGCTGATTTATACCTGCATAAATGCCCTTTTTGAAAGTAAAATGGAACAATTTGAGCCTCCAGATAATGACAGTAGTGGATTATAACACGTGGAATAATGTAGGAGTCCACAAGACCGTGCTGTTACAAATCAGAAGGGAGTGTTTCCTTAAAGTAGAATGCAAAGTAATGTAGAAGGATTGGTAGAAATAGAAGTATCACCATCTAGCAACCCCTGTAGCAACACAAGACAAGAATCATGAATGGCTGCTAAAACTAGGAGGCAAAAGTTTGATGAGAAACAGAATATTTTCGTGGTCTCAACGTATCTTCTCACGGGTTACTTTTTAATTACAAAGAGAAAAATAATAACCTGGCAGACACCACCTCCTCCAAGGGACGATAGTTAACATCACCAGTAATGGGACAAATTGACATCATCTCCCTTCTGCTGTGATGCACTGTGAAGGATACAGTATCATTTCTGGGGCAGCCCTGCCCAAAATGCAAAATCTGAAATTAATCATGAGATAACATTATAGAAACCCAATTGAGAGCTATTCTACAAATTAAATGGTTTGGGTTTTTCAAAAATGTCTAGATCATGAAAGATACTCTTCCAAGCTAGAGACTAAAGACACATGACAACCAAATGTTGCATTTGATCCTGGGGGTAGAAAAAGATTTTTCTTTTTTGTAAAAGATGGTAATGGAACAAATGGTGAGATGTGAATGAAGTCAACAGACTAGACAACAGCATTGTATTAGTATTAAATTAATTTCCTGATCTTGACAGTACACTGTGGTTATGATGAATCAGACAATGCACTTGTATTTAGGAAATACATCCTAAGGTGCTTACGGGTAAAGAGACATCATCACAACCTACTCTTAAATGGTTTAAAAAACATAGAGAGTTGGGGGTGGGAGAGGGAGGAAACGATAATGCAAATGTGGTAAAATGTTAACATTTGGGGATTTGGGTTACAGAATAGACGTGACTCCTTTGTACTATTTTTGCAGTTTTTCTGTAAGAGATACTTTCTCAAAATAAATTACAAAAAAAAAAAAAAAAAAAAAAAAAAGGAACCAGAGCTGTTGGATTAGTCACCAGTGAATCAGTGGATATTTTAATTAATTTACATAGTATTTGTATATGTAGTGCTTGCTGACTTTAGAGGCCATTATTCCTTTTCTGTATTGTGTATTAACAATATTTTTTAAAACTATGTCATAATAAAGAGAAAGAACACTGGCTTAGTCATCAGAGGATGGGCTATTCTCTTAAGTCTGCAACTAATTGTTTAGTGAGACCTTGAGAAAATCACTGTTTCTGGGTCCCGGGTTCTGCACCTGCAAATGTTTGCAGGGAGCTGGATGAACTCACATGGATAACTGGATTCTAGCAGTTGTGTGATGATGGGTTCTGGACTCACTACCATGGTCGGAACTCAGGGAAATGTTGTCTCACGGTTAGCCACTTAAAAAAGGCCCAAGCCTTCTCACACAAGTAAACTGAAAAGATCCTGGGACCCTCCACTCTGGCCCTCCACTAGCGCACGCAACTTGTTAGCGGCACATCCTCTGAGTTGTATGACCAGTACTCTGTTTTCCAGCCGTTCATCATTTTCCAGAGACTTGCCTTGTGTTGTTAGTCACCCTTTCTTTTAGTCATTTAAAAAAGGAATGTGACTTTTCTTCGCTTTAAAATTTTCCAGTTCTTTCATATCTAGACTTTACCTTTGGAAAGTAATTTGCCATTATGGCAGAGATGAATAGGTAGGTGGACTGTTTTCCTCTAGGATCACGAAAGAGTTCAGTTGATAAGCAGTTGAATGTAGATGATCAGAAAGTGATGGGAATGGAAGTAAAATTTCAGAATGAAAATTAAGATTTTTAAGTTTGTGCATTGAAAATCTTGTGAGGTTAGTAATGTAACCAGGAAGTTACTCTTGCTCTTCTAAGCCTTTCAATATGATTCCCCAAGAAAGACAAAAATGTAAGGATACCCACAGCAGACACTCTGGTCTTCTACTGGTGAGGATGTAAATTAGTTTTGGGGTTTTTTTAGAGGTAATTTAACAATATTTATTAAAAATAAAAGAGATTATGCATGCTAACTTGAGTTCTACTTCTAGGAATTTATCCTGTAGAAATGTTCATTGCAGCATTGTTTATAAAGGTGAAAACTTGAACAGTGTTCATTGTTAGGACACTGCATTAATAAATTATGACATATCTTACAATAGATTCTTATACAGCTGTCAAGAAATAATATAAGATTTTTTATGTTAATATAAAATGGATTTCCTGTTGCTGTTTTTAAAAATTGTGACAAAATATATAAGACGTATTATTTGACATTTTAACCATTTTTGAGAGTACACTTAAGGGGCATTAAATACATTCAGTGTTGTATAACCATCAGCACTTTGTACATCTAAAATTTTTTCATCATCCCCAGCAAAACCTCTGTATCCATTAAATAACTTTACCTTGGGGCACCTGGGTGGCTTGGTCGGTTGAGCGTCCGACTTCGGCTCAGGTCATGATCTCATGGTCCGTGAGTTTGAGCCCTGCATCGGGCTCTGTGCTGACAGCTCAGAGCCTGGAGCCTGTTTCAGATTCTGTGTCTCCCTCTCTCTCTGCCCCTCCCCTGTTCATGCTCTGTCTCTCTCTCTGTCAAAAATAAATAAACGTTAAAAAAAAAAATTAAGGGGCACCTGGGTGGCGCAGTCGGTTAGGCGTCCGACTTCAGCCAGGTCACGATCTCGTGGTCCGTGAGTTCGAGCCCCGCGTCGGGCTCTGGGCTGATGGCTCAGAGCCTGGAGCCTGTTTCCGATTCTGTGTCTCCCTCTCTCTCTGCCCCTCCCCTGTTCATGCTCTGTCTCTCTCTGTCCCAAAAATAAATAAACGTTGAAAAAAAAATAAAAAAAAAAACAACAACTTAACCTTCACCTTTCCCCCCACCCCCAGGAGATTTTACATATTGACATGGAATATGGCCCAAGTGCATAATTAAATGATAAGGGAAGACTGTAAAATAGAATAAATACTATGATTCTACTAGTAAATTGTGTAGGGAATTATAGTATGTTACTGTAAGTGTGGAAAAAATCTGGGACTCTACATGTATTAAACTGGTAAAGGGGGATATTTGGGGAGATTTTAACTTTTCCGTTGTATTTTGGTAATTTTTTTGTTTTAAAGGGAAGTGTAACTTTTCTAAGCAAAAAACAAGAGCTGTACTTTAAGTATTGTAAAACTTGGTGATTTGGATAACTCTGATTTTGTCTAATGAATAACAGACTTTGCTGTGTGGTTGCTGAATTTGAGTTTATATAGAACCTAAACACTTTATTAAAATAATGATGTTTGTTTTCACAGCTAGAGTTGGGAAGACATCACTGATTATGTCCCTGGTCAGTGAAGAATTCCCAGAAGAGGTAAACATTTTTATCTTTTCTATATTTAAAATCTTTTAAATTTATCAAAATTGAGTTAAAATGAAATAAATTCTGCTCTTTTTTTGGATGTGTTTCCTTTCTGACAGTTATGACTTTAAAAAGGCTCATATTAGTTATACAAGACATCCCTGAAATATAGTGCAGGAGAAAGAATCAAACTAGATCTGAGCCCACCTAAGTCCTTTGTTCTTCCTATGTTTTCTATTTCTTTTTATTTTTATTTTTATTTTATTTATTTTTTTTAATTTTTTTTTCAACGTTTTTTATTTATTTTTGGGACAGAGAGAGACAGAGCATGAATGGGGGAGGGGCAGAGAGAGAGGGAGACACAGAATCGGAAACAGGCTCCAGGCTCCGAGCCATCAGCCCAGAGCCTGACGCGGGGCTCGAACTCACGGACCGTGAGATTGTGACCTGGCTGAAGTCGGACGCTTAACCGACTGCGCCACCCAGGCGCCCCTTTTTATTTTTATTTTTGAAGTTTATTCATTTTTGAGACAGAGTGCGAGCAGGGGAGGGGCAGAGCGAGAGGGAGACACAGACTCTGAAGCAGGCCTCAGGCTCTGAGCTGTCAGCACAGAGCCCGACACGAGGCTCAAACTCACAAACTGTGAGATAAAGACCTGAGCCCGAGTCGAATGCTTAATTGACTGAGCCACCCATGCGCCCCATTTCTTTTTTCCTTCCTTCCTTCCTTCCTTCCTTCCTTCCTTCCTTCCTTCCTTCCTTCCTTCCTTCCTTC